AAAAAAGTAGCAACACAGCAAATACAGGGGCTGGGGCTTGCAAAAAGCCCTGGGTTCTGTCCTCTGAACCCACCCATACACAAAAATCAACACAGCACAAACTCCTTCCAAAGACTTTAGAGTTTTTCTTACTTTGTATTACCTTGCTCTTTTATTTGACGTATCTGTCTTACTGTTTCCTTTAAAATTGCACATTTATCTGGTTTGMCGTTGAAATTGTCAATATCACTAAGATTTGCAGATATCAGTTCAGCCAATTCTTCAATATATTTACTCTCCTGCTCTCGTCTCCACTTTTCACCACTGCAGGTAAGACTAACAAGAGAGGAGAAAAGCCATGTCACACCTGCCACAAGAGCTATAAGCAGAGACAACCCCCACACACTATTACTTTCATGTGTAAAGGAACTAAACTCAGCCAACAGGAACTATGAAAACATTGTTAATGGAGAAGTAGCACAACACAGTAGAATTTCATGCAAAGCTAAATTCAATTGCACCTTTTTATTAGCCAGGTGGCCTTGGGAAGAGCAAGCCTCAGTTCCCTCACCTGGAAGGCAGGAACAATCTTTACCTTGTAGAGGTAAACAACTAACAAATAATAACAAAAACAGGCACTTATTATTAATGATGAAGCTTTATGAATTACAGATTTTTTTATTTTTTCAACTATTACTTTAAAGTTAACATTAGCTTTGGCAAATATTTTAAAAATTACAGAGCAGTACTACACAGATTACAGCATTTTAGTTCTGATTTTGTCAAGCTTCTAATTTCATTCAGGAAAAAGAAAGTAATGTAACCTTTAAATGCCAAAACATGAAACTTACAACATATTCTTAAAGGATACCAAAGATTCTTACATATAATACAGTCACCTATTCCTAACTCCTATACCGTCCATCCAGAAATTCTTTTTAAAGTAACAGACTATTAAAATAATATTCTGCCTTCTGTCTGAATCAGTGATTCCTCTGATGTGAATCTTTGATTCTTTCATATCATAAAGATGTCCACCTCGTCTTCATTGCACTTGATATAAAGCAATATCACATTTAAGAAAAAAATTTTAATCTAATGAGAGAATGTAAATAACAAAGTTGAAATGGTATCCTTAAACTAAACAAAACAGAGGGGAGAAGGGAAGGGCTGTGGGGAAACATCTGGAAATAAATCACCTACCCCTGTCCTGGAGTATCACATGGCAATTTGCGTTTTCGTGAGTCACTGGCCAGTGGATCCAAATTTTCTCCTAACCCACTCATCCTGATTATACATTAGTGACTAAGAAAGAATGACGACAGATAAAAGCATTATAAAATATCCATTTCTCCATGAAAATGTCATTATAATTGCATGCTATAATTCAGAAATACTTTCTCAATATTCTTTATCATAAATCAGTATAATTAAAAACCTCAAAATTCATCTTTCACATTAATTATGCAGAACATCCAATCTCAAGACAGAAATGTTTCAGGCCCTGTTTAAAATGTGCATATTAAATACTTCAGAGTATAAGGCATTTTATTCATATTTAGTAACACAAGACTGCCAACCCTAATATTGATAAAATTCTGTATTTTATTTATACCCCAGTGGAAAGCACAAATAGTTCTTATCTTGTGATTTGATAAGAACTCTTCAAATGATAAACCTAAATTATTCAGCCTATTTTGGCATTTTTCCTTCAAATCATTTCATTAATATTTATCATCTGTTTTTCTTCTATTAAATTAGAATAAGCCTGGACTATATAAACAACATTGTAAAACTCCCCTACATTCTGCTTAGAAAGAAGTAGGAAAACAGTAAAACCATGGGGCAGGGGAAATGTTTTGACACTAAACCACACAGTAACAATTATTTTAATACTGACTGACTGAAAACTCTACTAAAACATATTTTTCTAAGATAAAGATAAAAAGTATTTTATTGAAAAAGAACAATGAATTTTTAACACTCAGTGGATTATAATTTAAGATATATACCAAGTCTTCATTTACTAAGAATTTCATGTATACTAAACTCATTTGTAATAGGATAAGCACTGTTCTTTAATTCCAAGTCCTTGAGTGCAGGGTGCACACCTGGTACCTCAGAAGGCTGAGGCAGAGAAACACAAATTTCATATCAGCCTCAATGACTTAGAACTATCTCAAAATAAAAAAGACTCAGGATGTACCTCAGTACCTAGGTTCAATTTTAGGTTTAAAAAAAAAAAAAAAGAATTCCATGTCACCAATAAAGTTCAAACCTTCTATTTTTTTTTTTTTTTTTTTTAATGTTAGGATGTATCTGGCATTCAGTTGGGTCCACAAGACATATCCTGACTGACATGCACGTCCACTAGGTGGCAAAATACTACCAGAAAAGAAGACAAAAAAATGCAGGAAAAAGATGCCAATCAAACCTAAAATATGTAGCTCTAAAAACAACCCTAATCACGATTACTCAGGAATTCTAGACTATAGCATTATTTTACATATTCACTTTGTATAAATTAAATATAGACTAAATTCCACTCTAATTTTGATAGTAAAATGTAAAAGCTGACAAGTATTTTAAAGATATGCTGGGGTGTTTTTTCTCCCTGACATAAACCTAAGTCAAGAAGAGAAATAAAAATAACCTTAATTAATCGTATTCCCCCCAAAAAATGTGGCTCAATATGATTTTTAAAGCATACTCGGAACACACAATCTCAGGAGTACTGTATTTTCAAAACTATCAATGTCAAAATAAAAGGTCATTGTCACAAAAGATACTCTATATAAACTATCCAGATTAAAAGAATCTAAAGAGAAATGACCATTAAATATAATATTTGATCCTAGAATGGATCCTRTACTGTAGAGAAAAAATTCTAAAATATACATAACTGAGTTAATTGACAAATTACAATGTGGACAATAAATAAAGGTATTCTATCAATATTAAATTTACTGATGTTGACATATGAACTATGGTTATTGAAGAGTATCAATATTCTTATATTTAGGCTCAAGAGGCCATTATGTATGCAAATGGCCTTCAGGTGGTGGAGGAGGTATTATAAGTAAAAACCAGGAAGGGGAAGAAGGAGTGGAAGGGATTAAAGCAAAAAATTGGCACTGGGTCAATCTTGGGGGTAGGGGAGAGAAATTACAAAGCCATTGCGTTTTTCTTTTCCTTGTAACTTTGTTACTGGGATATAAGCAAAATTGAAAGCAAAAGTTTTAAAGTATGTTCAGGTTTGATTTTCTACTTTTCATATTTAAAAAGAGCAGTGATTCATAAGTACAAAAATAGATTGATCTAGCTACATATCAATTGGGTTTTCATCTGGGTCATTCAAAAGTTATCTTTAAATTGAATGGCAAACCATCCAATGAGTAATAACATCTCTTTATTTTAAAATACAATTTAGACTACATTCTATACAGTATTTTCCTACTCTGGTGACAAACATAAGCTAAATCTCAAAAACTGAGTGGAAAAAACTATTCAGTGATCAGTAACATTAACTTGAAAACTAATCTATATTTTCAATATTATGCCTTATACTTTGCTATGAAATATAAGCTGAATCCTCAGTATAGTGTAATGTGCCTAGCATATAATAAGTGTTCAATGAATGCATTGAATAAACACTGAATAAACATTCAACCTACCATATTTCAGAATTTCTTTCACTTTGATCTTAAAATCATTCAATGCAATCCTATTACTTTAAGCTTAATTTTCAATAGAGAATTTACACCAGGATAATCTCAATATGGAATTATCATATTATCAGTCAAAACCAGAAATGCACATGTCATTGGTGCTAAGTCAATGTTCAAATGCATATTGAGAAACCTAGAAATGTCTACTATGTCTATACATACAAAAGGCTCTTTCTCTTGACCTTGGCAGATAAACAAACAAGCTACAAGGTACACATAACCCTGTGCAGTCTCTGTGCTACCAACTTATTCTCACTAAGTTCAACAACGCCTAGGAACACAGGTAATTAATTCTCTAGAAAGGTGCTAACACAAAATCCTGGTAAAACATGATAAAGATGTATATCCAAACATGGACAGTATAATTATTTAAGACACATTATATTTCTCCTATTTCATTATTTTAGGAACAGATTTGACAAAGTTTTTTAAGACATGGACAAATCTTGGTACGTTCAGCGTTCAGTTATATAGAACCACAATGACCAAGAGGGAATGACAGCAAAATTCAAAGTAGAGCAAATCTCCAAAATCATTAAACTAAAGAAAATGGCCAACATGAGAAAGAAAGTATTTCCCCCCCCAAAAAAAAAATAATAATTTTAATATATTCAATAACTAATTCCAGAGGACAAATGACTGGCACTTTTATGTCCAGTTCTCTACTTAATCTTAGTTATAAACAAACAAAAATTATAAATAAGCATTTGTTTTACTTGCCACGCATGTCTGCTTCTAAGAGAGTACACCTTCTAACTTGATAGAGAATCCTTTTTTAAAGTAAAAAGGTAAGCGCCCAGCATACAAACACTAAGTCTCGTCCATTTTCAGTCAGTAGTCAAGAAAGGAATGACAGAGAAGGCGTAGCATGTACCAGAACCCTGAAGTTCTAAAGGTTAATAATTGCAGATTGTAACCAGATAGCTTACATTCTTATTTTACATCTTAAATTAGTTTGGAGGATATATGAAATTGGAACACTCCATCTTCAAAGGAGAAATAATATAACACAAGAATTTCACAGCATACTTGATTATAAGACTAGACTTTCAACAGGGCATGAAGGTGTATGCCTAGAATCCCAGCTATTTGGGGGACTGAGGCAGGAGGAACACAAGTATAAGGCCAGTTTGGCAACTTGGTGAGATTCTGTCTCAAAAATTAAAAGGGTCAGAGTGCAGCTCAATGGAACAGCACCTGCCTAGCATGTGTGAGGCCCTATGTTCAAGCCCAGTATCACAGAAAGAAAAAAATATTAAGGCTTACACAGTTGAACAGAAATAATACAACATAGACATGCCTGTGTAAATATTATTTTGAAGTTTACAATGAAGAGATTCCCCCAATATACTGTTAAAATGGAAAGTTGCCACTAATGCACTTCCAGATAGACCACAATCAAATCACAAAGATCTTTTAAGCCCAGTATAGAAAAGAACTAGAGTAGAGAACTTTTCATTGAATCAGAATCAAAAACAAACTCAGTCTTTCAATGTGAACAGATCCTTAAGCCATTCTCACCATTATTTTGTCTGAAACACTTCTACTGAAGAGTCCTGTGCTATACTAATCAAGTGCACTAATGCAACAATACACACTTGAAGCTAGGATTACATTTAAGATATTTTATGTAATTACTTTAAATATAGAATAGTAATTTAGAGTATCTTTCAATGCTATAAAAATTCAATCTCATCTGTTATCTATATTATTCAAAAAAAAACAGAAGCATATCCATGATAAAATTTAAAATGATTAAGAATTTTCAACTAGGTAGAATTCTTCACTAGTCAGATGGACAGTAAGTACTCCTTATCCAAAAGAAAAAGATCTTCATCAACAATACCAATGTCCACTCTGAATTTTTTACTCTGAGTAAAAAGTTATTTTGGGAACCTAAGAAAAGTGATGCAGCACCAAAAGAGTAAGAGATGGGCTATCCAGTAAATCCAAATTGGCAAAGAGACCAACTAAATATTATGCTTTTCCTAAGTTAATAAAAAGAAGGAAGGCGATCATTTCTGTGGCATCATGGTGTTAAGCATCTCACATGATAACATATGCCTTGGAGGGCCATTATGAGTAACATTCAGTGTTACTCACAATGGCTTTCCAAGGCATATGTTACCATTCCATTTTGCAGAGAAGGAAATGGCTAAATAACTTTTCACAAGATCCCACAGGGATGTTGGATGGCAGAGCTAGGACTGCAGTATTTTTTTTCAGACTTGTTTTTTGTCTCTGCAGGTATGGGAACTGACTCAGGGCCTTGTTCTTCTATACAAGGGCTCTACTATTGACCTACATATATCCCCAATCCTTTTATCAGACTTCATTACCAACAAAATGTTATCAAATGTTTCTGAGGCATTTTATTCCCCACCACTTATTTACTTATACCACTGAATCATACTGTCTCTAACCAGTTTGCCACAAATTTCTTAGCTCGTCAATAAGAACATTGAAAAACTATAACATGCACAATTTAGGGACATGCAGCATAAGGATCAGAGGCCAGCTCAGCAGTCACTAATGCTGCTATCCTCTCCATCCCCTTAACCTAACCCTAATCATTGC